ATGTGCTGGCAGGCAGATGTGCTGCCCGCTGAGGAGAATAAGCTCGGTTATTTAATGAAGAAAACTCATTTGAGGCCGATCGCTGATGCAAACACCAACTGTGCTGTAGAACTGGCTCTAACCTCCGGCTGTTTAATGTTATCAGTGGTGCAGCCCCACTTCAAGGCCTATCAGCAGATAGTGCGTTACTTTGGCAGCAAGATCCTCTTGGAGAACGGAGAGATAAATCGTGAGGCTCTAGGAAACATTATCTTCTCCCACCCGGAGAAACGGCAGCTGCTGAACTCCATCACCCACCCGGAGATCCAGAAGGAGATGCTGAAGCAGATCTTGAAGTACTTTGTGCTAGGTAAGAGGCTGGGCAATTCTGGCGTCCCGGCACACCGGGACTCCTGCTCAGGCAGGAGCCGTCCCTGCTTGCTCTGCCTTTGGTTTTGAAGCGGGGAGAGGGAAGGGGAAGGAGAAAGGGAACCGACGTTGAGTGACGGCCTTTGTGCTCTGCCACCGGTGGCCTTTACGCGTTGGCGTTTGGAGGATTCGTTCCTGCCTTTCACTGCTGCCCTTCACCACCTTCTTCTTCAATGGTTTAAAGTACATCTGTAGGGCCTGAGAAAAGCATTGTGAGGCCTCTTCTGAGATTACTTGCCGGATAATGTCATACCTTCCGAAATGGCCAAATATTCTTCCCTGCCCGCCCCCCTCCCTGGGCTTCGATGAAAGCTGCGGAGCCCTTTAACTCTCAATAAGGTGAGAAACGGGCTGACAGCTGTGGTTTCCAAAGTCCCGCTTTTTCCCCTGATGAATATAACAAATACAGCTGTCAAACTTGGTCTAATCAAATGCCAGATAAGATCACCAGCTGTTTTGGAGGTCTCCGTGTAGACAGAAGGATGTCTTCATAGAGTCAGTCTGGTTTCGCGCAGCTTATCAAAGCTGAGCCCTGTGACAGCTGAATAGGCCTGTGCCGGGGCACCGCGGGGGCTGTGCTCTGCTGCCGGGCGAGGAGGAGGAGAAAGCGCAAAGGAAGCAACAGGCAGGAAAGCCGGGAGCCAGAGATGGAGTCTTGAACCCGGGGCTGCAGGCTGGGGAGGCGGATGCTGTCCTGCCCCTCGGCGAGAGCGCCGTGTGTCTTCAGCAGGCTGCTCTGTCCTCATTAGTCAGGTTTTAATGATTTGGGATAGCTGGATGTTGTCTCTAAGGACCGCTGTGTAAGGAAAGCTCTTATCGATCAAACCGTAGGGCAGCCAGAAGTCTCTGGGCGGAGATGCTGGTAAAATGGTGGCTCGTTGGATGATGATGTCTTTGTCAAGGCTTTTATTGCTGTGGCCAGCTCGGTTAGGGGGTTTGGGTTATAAGGAGGGGACACCAGCAAAGCTGGAGGTGTCCCCGCGGCTGGGACACACACGGGGGAGCGAGGTCCTGACTCGCTGCTTTCCCCTGCCCTCGCCCGCTCCTCCACGGGGCGCACCCCCGCGTACCCCCGACGCTGCCGTCTGGGGGGGAGCTGGCGCTTGCGAAGGGCAGAGGCGCGTGGAGAGCCTGGGGTGGGCTGCGGCGTCCAGGAGGATGGTGGCTGGTGGTTACGAGCTCTCCCCCGCCAGCTGCTCCGCGTGGTGACAGTGGTTTTGAACCAAACTTGGCCGGTTTTGGTGAGGTTTCAGGCCCTGGGGCTGTGCCTGGAGGCACCCCTGCGTTTCAGTGTCACGGCGGTGGGAGGTCTGCAAGGATTTCCTTGCTCCCCTTGGAAAAATGGAACTGTTTAGCCAAAGCTTTCCATAAAGGGAAGAAAACTGAGCTGGGAAACATCGGCTCAAATGATCGCAGCCTGGCAAAGTCTTGGACAAGTGAGAGAGAGGAGAGCAAACTCTGCTGTGGGCACTGCTCCCCGGGAGAGGCCAGCAACGACGGCCTGCCTGCCGCTCTCGCCAGCCAGGCACAGGCGCTTTCGTTTGAGCTTCTCGTTTCAGCTCCTCATTATATTTCTGCAGCTTCACCTTTGGTCTGAGATCATCCAGGTTAGGGTTTGTTTTTAGGTTGTGGGTTTTCGATTTGTTTTTGGTTTTGTTTTTTTTTTTTCCCCTCCTCTGGAAACTTGGAATGAAACCATTTCTTCCCTCGGAGGAGGAGGGGAGGAGGAAAAGCAGGCTCTGCCCTCCTCGTCTGCAACCGCAGAGCCGTAGAGCTCTCCCGCTTGCTTTGCTGGAGCAGCCGTGGCCGCGGTGTGCGTGCAGCACGAGGGATTTGGGAATCTGAGTAACGCTATTCCCTTTTCTGGGGGGGGTGGGGTGTTGTCATTTCTGCAGGCTACCGCTACGTGATCCTTGACATCCCTCTGCTCTTCGAGACCAACAGATTGACCAAGTTTATGAAATACACGGTCTTGGTTTATTGGTAAGTGCCACGTTAACCATGAGGACTGGGACGCTGCCACCTCTCTTAGAGGCTGGAGGGGACCATCACATCCCTCCTGCTCCGGAGAGGATTTAGCTTCGGCCTTGGCGTGAAGCCTTTCGATAACGCCGCCTCTTTTCTGTAAGCATGAGAAGCGACACCTTCCTTTATCCTAGCGTACGAGGGGCTTCTTACTGAGGTTTCCCCGAAACCTGGCACCATCGTACAGGGGGAATCTCTGTCTTTGAGCCCCTCACAACCCGTGCTCCGTTGGCTGGGGCAGGATTTGGGGCGCTGCCCCAGGGTTACGGGCCATGAGAATGCCAAAAACACCCAACGGGGTCAGGCTGGGCAGCGCTGCGGGTGCTGGCTCCACGGATCTGAGCGCAGGATGCCTGCGCCGGATCCGAAATGAAGCGGGGAGCATCTCTCCCCTACGCTTTACCCCGGCTTTTCCCCCTCGTGCCAAGGAAGGCAGGCAAACCCCATCTCCCATCCCGGCAGCGACCCGCCGACGCAGCTCTCTCGGCTGATGAAGAGGAACGGGCTGTCCCAGGCGGAGGCAGAAGCTCGCATCACCTCCCAGCTGCCGCTGGACGAGAAGCGCAAATTAGCGAGTCACATCATTGACAACTCCGGGGACCGGGAGAGCACACGCCGGCAGGTCCTGAGGCTGCACGCTCACCTGGAGGATTCCCTGGATTTCCTCTGGCTGCGGCTGGCGGCGGGCACGGTTGTAGCCGGGCTTGGAGGGCTGGTGTACTTCCTTCTCCGGCATTTCATGTCTTAATTCACCTTTTCTTTTTGTCGTGGAAGAGGCCTGAATTTCCAGGTTTGAAAAGGGCAATGAAAGGCCACTTCTTTTAATGAGCTTTGCCAGCTGAATGCAGACAGCGGCGTGAGGCGTCTCCTTGCAGACTTCCCAAGGTGAACGTAGGGATATTTTTTTCCGGCACAGTCTCCCCTCTCCTTTCTTCCTGCTCAGGTTCTTACCCATCACCTGTGTCTGCGGGGCAGGACTGCTCCCTGTGCGTGGCTGCGGCCCGTGGAGGGGCCGAGACCCTCGTTACCCCGCCGTGGGTCTGTGGGGTGGGACTCTGGTGAATTTAGGCACTTTAACGTCTTCCAGGACAATCTCTTCACTGGTGGCCTCTCCGCTCCCGTTTCTGCTAGCAGGTGTCCCCAGGTTGATCCTCTCCAAGCTCGCAGCCCCTGCTAATCTGAATTTAGATGTGGGATTTCCCCTTCTTTCACGTTGATTTAATGGAAATGTGTTAAATCTGCCGGGGGGGGAGACAGAGGGCACCCCGTGTCACAGGGGTGAGGTGTTCAGCTGGCCGCTCGCCCTCCCTCCTGCCCTCTGTTTCTGCGATCAGCGCTTGTGCGTCGCCCTTGGCTTTGGATCTGAGGGTCTGATGCGTCCCGGGAGCAGGCTGAGACCTAGGACCTGCCCCGTTGAAACTCGTTTACTGCTGTTTGAATTTTCCTTTGGCGGCAGTTTCCCCGTGGGAGAGCCCGAGGAAAGCGGGCGCTGGCTCTTCACGTTCGTTTTAATAAAGTGCTAAACAGCAGCCGGCTCCCCGCGGCTCTGCAACCTGCGGGCTGCCGGCGCTGCTCTTTCCTGGCCCGCTCCCAGGTCGTTCCTATGCCGGGGCACGGCTGCGCTCTGTAAAGTTCACCGCACGCAAGCAGAGCTGACGAGTGCGCTCGTGCTTTTTCCCCGGTACGCATCCCTGTAGCGGTCCCAGGGAGCTTCTCGGAGCATCGGTGCCCGCCGTGAGCTCACTTAGGGGGGGCTGTGGCTTCGTGTCGGCTCTGGGCACCCCACAGCGTGGCTCTGGCTTCCCAGGATGCCATCCTGGGGCTCGCAGTGGTTTTCTGTGGTCAGCGCTTTCCCCCCCGCTGCCACCTCCCTGTCGCAGCCTTCTCAGAAAGCCCGTGCCCCTTTTTGGGGCCGGGAACCCTTCCCACCCCCTCCCCCGAGCCCAGCCACGCGCCTGGGGGTCCCGTGTCTCGCTCAGCTGGGGAGACCCCGTGGTCCCTGTGCAGCTACAGCCACAGGAGAGCACCCCCGAGCTGGGACGCCCCCCGCGTACCCCAGCTTTTCAGGCAGGGAGGAACCGTACGCGAGCGATAACCTTCCGCCGCTCCCCTCTCCTGCTTTTTAATGCTCCCTTAATTGCGGTGGTGATGGCGGGAGTCCCTTGCAGCCACCCATAAATCAGGACGGCCTCGGCCCGAGATAAGCTCTGATTGCCTTCCTCCCTCCCGGCTCGCCGCCTCCGCGATAAATGGGGCTGCGATGAGGCCGGCGGGGGGAAGGAGAAAGCGAGACGGGCACCTAATCGCATTTGGCGCTTCGCTCCTGCCCTGCTGACGTTTGCCGGCCGCTAACGAGTTTAGCGGGGCTGAGGGAACAAGCGGTTTCAGGAGGACGGCGAGGCGCAGGGCTCTCCGCGGTGCCGGCCGCGGCTGGCGTGGCCTTGGGGTGCCCGGTTTGGGGGTGCCTGGCGGCCTGGGCTGAGCCCCCTGCGTGGGCTGCGGGCCTGGGCAGTGGCACCGGCCGGGGAAGGGCTCCTGAGCCTGGCGCTTGGCCGCCACGTCCCCGTCGTGGGTGCTGATGTCCCTCCCGTGGGTGCTGCCCCAGCACCCTCCCAGCCAAACCCTCTCAGGGACGCGCTGGCAGGACGCCCTGTGTCCGCGGCGGCGGCCGTGTGGCTCAGCCTGCAGCCGTCCCCCGCTGGTGACAGATGGCTGCGCTCTGCAGGCTGCCGGGTGGCATCGACAGCTCAATCGATGGCCGCTGAGGGGGCCTGAAGGGCAGCGTGTGTCCGGCCGGGGCGGGGGACGCCCTGGCTGAGCCCCCCGCGCTCGTGACACGGACGCTGCCCCCCTCAGCTGCCTCCACGTGGGCCCAGGGACGCTGCGCCGT